AGGGGGGGACAGGGATGCGGGGGGCGGGGCCTAGTACTCCCACAGTGTGGCAGGGTCGATGGTCTCTGCACAGGCCTTCAGGACCCCCGCGTGGTCCCCCTTCAGGTAGCGCCCGCCCACCTTGATGGCCACCTTGTTGTAGTCGCAGAACTCAAAGAAGAAGTCGACAGGGGTGTCACTGCTGCTGGTGACCAAGGAGTCACTGCCCAGCGTCCAGTACTTGCCTGTGGAGTCTGGGGGGAGCAAGACCCTGTCAGGCCCCGCTTCCTGCTGTGATCTCCGCTTCCACCCCAGCCTCCCTCGCGCCCATCCAGAGCTCTGGTCCCATAGCTCAGGGTGCGTCCTCCCCTGCCCATCCTTTCTGGGAACCTGGCTCCTCCTGCCCCATCCAGTCTGGGGTGGCTAGGAAGTCTCCCTCCAATCCAGGGTCACTGGTGGCCTCAAGACATTTGCCCTCTGGGGCTTGGAATGGCCCAAGCCATCACAGGGAGGCCAGGCTGAGTCCCAGAGACAGTGCCGCGGACGGGGAGGTGGGACGACTCCTTGGCCCGGACACTGGGGCCCACCCAGCAACCGTCCCGGGAGAACCTGCCTTTGATGTTGTAGGCGCCGTCATTGAACTCGAGCTGGAAGACGTCGTAGTTGGAGCGGTTGGCGTCCAGGGTGCCCGTGACCTTGCGGCAGCCGATGAAGCCGTGCTCCCCGCGGAACACGATGATGGGGCGGTTGATCAGCTTCATGAGGAAGAGCTCCGTGTCCCCTGGCCCGGGAAGGAGGGGCGTGAGCTCACGGGTGTGGCTGGGGCGCTCGGAGAGCGGGAACCTGGGTGGCCCTGCCGCCAGCCCGGGGGTGAGGCTGGCAGGGAGTGTGGGGGATGCCCAGCACAGGGCAGGCCTCGGGGGTGTTGGTGAGTGACTGCTGGTTGCACCCGCAGGGAGGGGGGTCTGGGGCACCCTCTGGCGGCTACCTGCGGTCTCCACCGAGGCGGCCAGCTGCCCGTTCTTCTTGGCCGTCACAAACTTGCCATTGGACGCGCGCAGTGTGATCCGCCGATCGCGCCACTCGATGTCAAAGTAGCAGCTGGCACTCCTGGGGGAGGCGGGACAGTCAGGTGGAGCCCCCAGGCCCGGTCCCCCAGGAAGGTCCCCCCAGTCCCGCTGCGAGCGCGGGCAGTGACGGGCGGCCCGGGCACTTACTTGGCGGAGGCGGTGGACTGCACACCCCCGGTGGCCGTCAGCGTCCAGTACTTGCCCGTGTGGGTGCAGAAGGCGCACTTTTTGGTGTCGCGGTCGATCTCCAGTTGGAAAGTCTCCTGGTCAGTCTCTTCATCCTGATTGGCCGACAGGTCCATACCTGGGGGGAGAGCCTCGAGCTGGTACCCACGCCTGCCCTCCTCCCACCAACCCGCCGCCAAGGACAGAGCCAGGCCAGCCAGGAGCAAGCCGGCTGCATCCTGTCCATGTCACTTTCTCTGACGACAGAACCGACACCTTCCGGCAAACCAACTAGAAAGACATTCCGGAGCCGATCGGGGACCGTCCGTGGCCCTCGTGAGAGATGAAGGGTTAATTGTTGTTCACCATGTGATGGTTGAGGCCTCATTTTACAAACGTTTCAAGATGAAAGGCCCTGATGCCAGGGATCTGCTTTAAAAACAACCAAAAACCATGGCGACGCAGACAGAGGGGCAGGGGACAGGGAGACGGTGGCGGTGCCACTCCTGGGGGCGCAGGTGGCCAGGGCCACGCCCTCCTTCCCCGGAGTGGAACCCGAGGCTCTCTCAAGAAGTTAGGAAGCTCGCACACGTGCACACGCGTAAACACGAAGCCACACATCTTCCCACGCTCCCCGGCAGCACGGGGACCCTGGCCTCCCTGCGGACACTGCGCCCCCTGCACATCTCGATTTGCATATGATCTGCGTCGTTGTGCGTTTGTCCCAACAGAACAAATTCACATCCCCAGGCGCCCTGGGCTCTCCGAACCGCGGCCACGGGAGTCTGCCCAGGGCCCAGGGTGTTACCTTTGGGCCTTGATGCCTTTTTGCAGTCAGGACCATGGTGATGGGTGTCGTGTCCCTTCAGACCAGGAACCTGGGGGCTGGGGGCGGGGGTCTGAGCGCACCTCCCGGGGGCCCACCTTAGCTCTCCAGCCGCCGCTCCAGGGCCTGAAAGGTGTCCGCCCCTTCTTAACCCAATGACATGCCCCACACCAGCACCAATGGGTGGGGCCCTTCACCCCCACTTCACAAAGAGGGAGACTGAGGCAGGGAGGTGGTGACCAGAGGGAAAGTACTGGGCCCTGGCGGCTCCAGGAGGGAAGGTGGGCACTCAGGCTCCTGCCGGGCCCTCTGCCCTCCGCTCTGTGGACAGTGGGTGTGGGCACACGTGGGCTCGAGCCACGGAGTCCTCACTGCACCCTCCTTCCTAGAGGAACAAAGGGAGGCTCCGCCGCGCACATTCCATGCCCAGGGCCATGCCCGCCATCTGCTCCCCACTCAGACCCCACACCCGGGGTGTCCAGGTTTGATGGAAAGGCCCAGGCCCGCCAGCGAGGGCCCCAGAGCAGGGCCAGGCGGGCGCCGTGGGGAACACCTCGTCTCGGCCTCAGCTGTGCTCTGCCTGGCAGAGGGCCCGCCTCTCCATTCTGCCGGAGGTAGAGAGGGTTTGGGGCCTGGTGCCACGTAGACACCAGGTCTTCCAACCCCAACAGGAAGGGGTGGGGGAAGGGGGGCTAACGCCACCCTGCGATCCAGCCAGGCCCCTCCCGGCTCCAAGGCCAGGCCCAGGCCAGGAAAGGCCCCTCTTGGCCTTGGAGTCTCTAATTGGAGCTGGGTTGCCATGGAAACAGGGTTTTCTTTGGGATTTTTCTTTACATCAACAGCAGCATAGAAAACCTGAGTCATAGGCCATAGGAGCCCTGGCGAGGCAGGGTACGGGGCTCCATGGAGCCCATGGGCACCCACCCCCTTCCTCCAGAGCCCCAGACACCTGGATCCCCCACCCCCTCCCTGCCTGACAGCACCCTGGC